AGGTGAGGGTGATGATAATGAGGTGATGATGGTGAGGGTGGTGATGATGGCTGTGGTGGTGATGATGAAGGTGGTGGTGAGGGTGATGGAGGTGAGGGTGATGGAGGTGATGGAGGTGACGGTGATGATGATGGCTGTGGTGGTGATGATGAAGGTGGTGGTGATGATAATGAGGTGATGGTGGTGATGATGGTGAGGGTGGTTATGATGGCTGTGGTGGTGGTAATGGAGGTGAGGGTGATGGAGGTGATGGAGGTGAGGGTGATGATAATGAGGTGATGGTGGTGAGGGTGGTGATGATGGCTGTGGTGGTGGTGAGGGTGAAGGTTAACATCTACATGCAGATACTCTGTGAGGCTGTTGTTATTGTTGGTGTCAGGTGCCATCCAGTGGGTACAGACTCACAGTGACCCTATGCACAGCAGAAGGAAGCATTGCCCGGTCCTGCACCATCCTCATAGTCATTCCTGTTGGAGCCATGGTGCCAAGTCATCTCACTGGGGGTCTTCCTCGTTTTCTCTGACCCTCCACTTGTTTACCAAACATGATGTCCTTCTCCAGAACTGGTCCCTCCTGACAATAGGTCCAAAGTATAAGAGGCAAAGTCTGGTCGTCCTGGCTTCTAAGGAACACTCTGCTTGTACTTCTTTCAACACAGATCTGTCGGTTCTTTTGGCAGCCCATGGCACTTTCAATATTCTCCTCCAACACCATAACTCAGATGCATCAATTCTTCTATAATCTTCCTTATTCACTGTCCAAATTTCACATGCACATGAGGTTACTGACAATGCCATGGCTTGGGTCCCCAAGCTGACATCTTTGCTCTTCAACACTTCAAAGAGGTCTTGTGCAGTAGGTTTGCCTAATGCAATACGTTGTTGGATTTCTTGACTGCTGCTTCCGTGAGTGTTGATGGTTTCTCTGAGCAAAGTGAAGTCTTTGACAATTTGTTATTAGGTGCTGTCAGGTTGGTTCCTGCTGTGACCCTGTGACAACAGAAATAAACACTGCTGGTCATGTGCCATCCGCCAGTGTTGCTGCTGCCACGTGCCAGTCCTTCTTGAAGCTCTTCTTTTTTTTTTTCTGACCCTCTACTTTACCAAGCATGATGTCCTTCTCTAGGAACTGGTCCTTCGTAATAACATGTCCAAATATGTGAGATGAAGTCTTACAATTCTGACTTCTAAGGAGCATTCTGGCTGTGCTTTGTTCCAAGACAGATTTGTTCGTTCTTATGACTGTTTGTGGTATATTCAATATTCTTCACCAGTACCATAAGTAAAATTCATTAAATCTTCGTTGGTCCTCTTTATTCACTGTCTAGATTTCACATGCGTATGTTGTTGTGTTGTTAAGGACCATCAAATCAGTTCCAGCTCAGCAACCCTATATGCGGTTTCTAAGGAGTGGCTGGTGGGTTTGAACAACCGGTCTTGTTGTTAGCAGTCCAATGCTTAGCCTACAGTGCCATACCAGGACAACTGAAAATGCTATGGCTTGACTAAGGCACAACTTTGTTCTCAAGGTGACATCTTTGCTCTTTAATACTTTAAAGAGATCTTTTCAGCAGATTTGCCCAATAAGTGTGCCACCATGTGAGTTCTTCACTGTTGCTTCCATGAGCATTGGTTGTACGTCCAAGTAAAATGAAATCCTTGACAACTTCAGTCTTTTCTCTCCATTTATTGTGGTTGTGTTGTTTATGGGTCCACTTGTGAGGATTTTTGTTTTCTTTATGTTAAGTTGGAATCCATACTGAAGGCTGGATTTTCTTTATGTTAAATTTAATCCGTACTGAAGGTCTTTGTTCTTCATCAGTAGGTGCTGCAAGTCCTCTTTGCTTTCAGTGAGCAACATTGTGCCACATGCATATCCAGGTCATTAATGAGCCTTCCTCTAATCCTGATACCACGTTCTTCATATAGTTCAACTTCTTGGATTGTTTGTTCAGCGTACAGAGTGAATAAGTGTGGTGAAAGGCTATAGCCCTGACACACGTTTCTTCATTTTAAACCATGCAGCCTCCTTTTCTTCTGTTTGAATGACTACCTCTGGATCTTTGTACAGGCGCTGCATGAGCCCAATTGTTGTTAAGTGCTGTTGAGTTGGTTCTGACCCATGGTGACCCTGCATAGAACTTTCAAGGAGCGGCTGGTGAGCTTGAACTGCCAACCTTGCAATTCAATCCGACTATGCAGTCCAGCGCATTAACCCACAGCACCACACCAGGACTCCGTGAGCACAATTAAGTGTCCTGCAATTCCCTTTCTTTGCAGTGTCCTCCATAGTTGCTTGTGTTCCACACAGTCAAATGCCTTTGCATAATCAACAGAGCTCAAGTAAGCCTCTTTCTGGGATTTTCTGCCTTCAACCAAAATTCCTCTGCTGTCAGCAACGATACCCCTCATTCCGTAGCGTCTTCTGAATCCGGCTTCAATCCTGGCAGCTGCCTGGCGATATACTGATGCAAGGATTTCTGAATGATCTTCAGCAAAATTTTAAATATCAGCATGTGATGTTAATACTATTGTTCAATGGGTTCTGCATTCTGTTGGTCACCTTTCTTTGGAATGGGTACAGTTTGGATCTCTTCCAATAATTTGGCCAGGGAGCTGTCTTCCATACTTCCTGGCATCGACAAGTCAGCCCCTGCATACTGCATCACTGTTGAAACACCTCAGCTGGTTTCCCTTCACGTCCTGAAGTTTTGTTTTTCACCAATGTTTTTAGTGCAGTTGGGTGCCTCCTGTTTATTCCATCCGTTCCTGGTTGCACGCGACTCGGAAAATCTCTACCAGGATGCTTCTATTATTGACCCCAATTTAC